TGATTTTCCTCCATCAGGCTACCCAAGTTTTCACCTTGTTGTATGTCAGCGACATTTTCAGCATCATCTATGTAGCAAGAAAATTATTAGGGAAACTCTGTAGCACATGAGTTAGTTAGATATAAATTTCAATTAATATAAGGATTTGTCTAAACCTGAGGGGTCATGTTCTAATGTTTGCACAGAAGTTGGTGTGTCCGCCATTGTGCCACGTGGAGTAGTAGCAGGGATGATAGGTGCGTCAGTATAGGGCATAAACTTGTTCCAACTAGTCTGTCCTCCAGGATTATATAAAGGATATGACAATGGATCATAACAACCCTGGTATGGTTTAATATACAATGCCCGATCTCCTGTTGCATACACAAGCACACTTCTATCAAAGCATCTCTGTGGGTCATTTCCTTCGGTCTAGATAGCAGCAACCTGTGATGTCGTCGGTGCATTGTACCTTTGTAAACATAGCGAAACATGGGTGAACATATAATCTACAAAATTATATAATCTTAGGTAGTAACTACAACAGAAACTCATGTAGTGTGGTAGAGAAGGTACCTCCTTTGGTCAAGCGTGACATTGGTGTTTAGCTCAATTACATAGTCATCAAAATTTGGTATGGCCCCAACCCTCTTGAATGTTTGAACATAAGGATTGTCCGCTAATATCCTAAGAATATTTCTTATGAGGTTGATATCCAAGTCAGGAGATCTCCGTGTCCTATGTGCTAAGGTATCATCTATATCATAAAAATATAGTTGGATGTGGCGTGGCCCTTTGGAACCTGGCACCAAGTGGTCAAGTCGGTGGTACAAGGAACCTTGCACCCGGAATGTATAGATACCAGTGCCTGCTGCGGTGGCAACACGACGATCCACACTAATCCCAAGGGTCGTGAAAGAGAAATGAGAGTTGAAGTAACGTATGTGTTTTCTGAAATACTTTGCATCAGCATCTACTTGGCTAGTAAATAACCTTTTTAAATCAGTCGGCACTTCAGGAATATGCACTTTAACCTTTCCACTTCTGCAGCAAAACCCTGGCGGTTCATATTCAAACCGTATGGCCCCACAGTGTCTGCAATTAGGCACCTTTTTCAAAACATGGTGCTGGTCTGGTATATCATGGTAGACATAGTCGTACGGATCATCAGCGTCAGTACCAGCAACACCATTGGCATATATACGGTATGACTCATATCGGTCATCTGCATGAGAGTTATGAAGTGGTTACGAACGCATGTGGTAAAATTAATATTATATATATATATAAACACAATAATTTATGGTCGACGTGAGGTGATACCTTCCCTGTGGAATTGCCTAGCTTCGTCGTCATCGCTCTGATGTTCCATGTCTTCCCGGGATCTGTTGCATGGGCAGCACGTGGTATGTTAAAAACTAACTCTTATGCAGTCATGTTTGTGTCATTAAAAAGCAACCCACCTCCTTCGTCATCAGATTCTTGTATCTCGTTGTTTGCCGGCTGGAACAAGGTAGTGTCATATTCATCTACCCGATCGATGTTTGCATGTAACGTGCGAAGAGCTGGTATCCCATCTGTATAGTAGTTATTATAGATTAAAGTTATATAATTAACATCAGAAATTTACATATATGAAACTATGGATTGGAAGAAAAATGAATCAAGCAACCTGTGGGCTGGGCATTGCTGCTTGGAGTATGCTTAATGGACTGATGTGTACTATTTCTCCTGTGCCTTGTATAGCCTCACATTTTATCCAATAATTCTTGTTTTATCGATTCTTCAAGATTGTTGTACCTTTCTATATTTCTCCGCAATTGATTGGCACTTGAACTGGATTCTGTTTAATCATTTGGTTGATATGGTGAGATATAAATAAATCGTAAAAATGAAAAAAGCATCATTAGTAGGTACTATAAAATTCCAGTTATTGTTTCACCTGGATCCTGAACCATCTGAGCGGACGGCTCCATTGCGATATCCCCACATACTTGTTGTCTTGGTCTGATGTAGTTATCATTTCGACGCAACCATTCCTAAGCATCACATGGGGTTTGATTTTCTTTGTCCTGAACCGAGGTTGGGCTAGTAAAAATTCCGGAATTCCCTGTCTGAAATGGTGATTCCTGCACTCCTTGAATTGACGTACATAGGGTCATATTAACGTCAATAGAATTCATGTTTGGGGTGGAAAAATATCCTTCGTTAATTGGTTGCAGAATGGCTGATGTCGTTGTCCCATAAGTTGGATATTGCGCTGCTGTTGAAGTAATAAGACAAGGTCAGTAAGTAATATTAATAATAAAAAGATAGCAATCAGATGACCTGCAAAGAGCATTCTTTAGCACCTGGCTAATCTGGTGCATTAGGAGGTGCCGTTGTTTGTGCATTTCGCCGAGCACGGTAGTCCCGCTGGTACTCCCGCTGCCTCTTATTTCTCTCCTCCCTTTGCTCGCTTGTTTCTTGAGCCCTAATCCTAGCGCGGTACTCATGTTGTTTTCTATTCCTTTCCTCTCTCCTGCGTTGTTCTTCGCTGCAAGCTGTTGACATGGCCTTGTTTATTTATATACTTTTATAGATGATGGCTTATATAAAAAATATGAGTGTATGAAAATACCTGGAGTAGGTATGTTCGTTACATCGCTGAGTGCAGTGTGGCCTTCTCTTGGCGTCCCCATTTTGCCGTCAAGGGCTAGTAATAATAATATAATAGACATGTCCATTAGAACCATGATATATCTTGCCGCCAGTGGTTATTTGAATACTGACATCTGAACCGCCTAAATGCTAATCTGAACCTCTAAATGCTAATCTGAACCTCTGAATTTGAAGATGAAAAATTTTCCTACCGTACTTGCTACATCTCTGAACATCTGAACCGCCTCGGCAAGTGACCGATAGTACTTCGGAAAAAAACTGCATTTTGTAGTTTCATATATACTATGATCAAAAGTAAAGATAAAAAAAATTCATATACCCTATACGCATCTATACGTATATACGCAGTTAGGTGTATGCATGTGTTCAGATGCGATCTCAGAACAAAGACAGGAGCTGGGCATGGAACATATATACGGCGGCATGGATCCATCTCGGCGGCAACATGTTTGACGATCGAAGTATACATGCGTACCTGATCTCCTCGCTCGCGACCACCTCGCCGACCACGCGTCCTCCTCGCTCGCACGATTGTAGTGGCCGCGGGAGACGCGATCGCGGTAGGAGCGAGATGTATGCGACGACGCCGGTGCACCCTGATCCTCGCTCGCGACAACCTCGTGATCGTAGCGGCCGCGGGAGACGACGATCGCGGCAGGAGCGAGACGTATGCGACGGCGCCGGTGCACCCTGATCCTCGCTCGCGATAACCTCGGCGGCGACGCGCGCGATCACCGCCTACTCGCCTCCTCCGCCAACCACGGCAGGAGTAGCAGCGCCTCCTCCGCCTCCGTGCGTGTCCGAGAAGTTCCGTGATTTTTGGCGGCGTGGCGTTCGTAATACTCAGTGGGGGCTGCATGACGTGGGTGTGGGGGAGAATGAGGAGATTTGATACACTCAATCCAGGCCCTCGATTGTGTAATGAGTAAGGAGAGAGAAGGCTTAGAGTGCATATGGACGGTTCGTTTGAAATGTGTTGTTTTCCTAGGTACACTTTTTTGGGTGGACATAGAGGGGACATCTCAGCGGGGGGTCGTTTTCTTGTGTGGACGTAGGAAAGAAAAGATGGTGCATTAATAGGGTAGACTAATAGATCAACTTTACAACCTTTATTCCTTCTTCTCTCTTCTCCCTCACCTCTGTCCAAAGATAGAAGGATATTTTAGTCTTTGTTCAGTCCTTTAGTTTTTTTAGTCTCTGGAACCAAACGTGTTATTTAGTCACTCTTTGAGTCCTATTTTATCTCTACCCTGGAATCAAACGAGGCCTTAGAGTTCTGAAGTCTGTGTTGAGAAAAGTGTTTTTTCTCGTATAAGACTGTCTCCAACAGCTCATGCAAAGAGCGACGCAAAACCAAAAACGATCGTGCACAATGTTTTAGCTGAAGAAAACCGGCTCCAACAGAAGACGCAAACGCAGGATGCATTTTGGGTATGAGGCCAACCGTGACGCTTATTTGCGTCGTCTTTCTCCAAGACGCAAAGTCTTTCGCGGCAGGAGCAGTGCGGGCAACTGCTGCTCGGCCTAGAGCCAATCAATGCTGGGCGCTGCTGGTGTGCTCGGCCAGGAGCCAAATCAACTAGCACACAAGGAACAGAGAGCTCGCACGCGAAGAACAGAAAAGAAGTGGCCAAGAAAATCGATGAAATCCGACTCAAATCTACGTGGATCGCTCCCAAACTTTGCACATCGATTCACAATGAAGATAAAAACCTACTCCTAGGAGATCATTGCTCAATTTAAACTGTAACTCTGTAAATTGAAAAAATTCGAGCAAGAACGAGTTTTTCCCCAAAATGAAGACCGGCTTGAATCTTAATGCATGAGTGGAATTGATTCAAACTACTTGGTAGGATTGTTCAACACTCGTCAAAGCATCAATCTTACTAAACAAATCTCACAGCAAAACTTAAATCGAGCACCAATCGAGAAGGAGAAAGAAACGGGAACGAAGAACGCATCGAAGAACAAAATCACACGAAAATCATGAGTGACGAATCCCAGAGGACACGAGAGGATTCGGGTCTCCATTCCTATACCAAATCACAGCAGAGAGAGAGAGAGGGAGGAAGGAGGCGGAGGGGGAGGGGGCCACCGGCGTGCCACCCGTGAGGGCGGTGGACTCATCGGAGATTGTGATGGGAGTGATGAAGTTCAGGCTCGCGGGTATGGGTTCGGACCGTCGGAGACGGTGAACCAAGTCCTGACACGGCCCAATTCACAGCGTCCCGTGCGTCGCCGCCAATGGCAGCAGGAATCCTCCCCTCATGATGCTCCTCTTCCCCGCACATCCAAAGGCGCTGCCATCCTCTGAAGAATCCTAGCCGCCTTACATGCCCGAGCCCGCCGCAAACCGGCGGATGGAGGCCGTCCGCCGCCACCTCCTTCTGCCTTCACCCCCGCCGCTTCGCCCTGTATGTGCCGTAACGCCCTACCTTGATTTCTCTTATGCTTACCTGATTTCTTCCCCCTTCGTCGCAGAATCCGTTAAGCAGTCTCACGGAGGTGGAGCCCAGCCCGGTGATCATCGGCGGGATGGTGCTGGATATCCATGCCAAGCCTTCCGTGCCGCCCCATCCTGGCACCACTGTCCCTGGAATGGTGCGTGTCCCTCTACTCTTCTAGTACTTTCGTTGGGTTATGAGAAGCGAGGCATAATCGTGTGACGGACTAATCGACCATGAGCAACAAGGTTTCGGTGGAATGCGAAGTAGAGTTGAGACCGTAGGCTTGACTTGTTTCGTCTTTGTGCTTAGAACGGCTTGTAATTGATGCCCATTGTGTGTCTGATAGTCGCTTGCTGCGCCATGTGCTTGGGATATAAATCAGGAACCCAGCTGGTTCATGATCCCTATTACACCGTTTGATTTTATCTTCTGAGATGGTAATGTCATGTACTGAGTTTGCGTTTAAGGCTCATGTTAACAAGTAGGGAGGATTGCAAATATGTAACAGGTAAGGTCATCTTAGTATGTGGCTCCACTGTTGGAGTTTCAAATGCAGTTCCTTCCACACCATCACTTATCCTAATGCTCATTTAGTTAGTATCAGTGAGAAACTCAGTGAGTATTGTCTCTTGTTACAGTTGTGGTACTTATCTACTTTAGAATGCGGCCGTTAGATTGCAATATGGATAAGAACTTGTTTGGGGACTTATGAATACGATGCTTCAGTTCCCACTTCAATCCTTTTAAGTATTTGATATTGAGTCCATGTTTGTTTCTTATTTTGTTCCAAATTTCAATACCTTTTCTAGTTTTACTTTGTTAGTCTGTATCGTATGCATTTGCTTCATCCACAGTTATGGACTATACAGCTGCTTAGTCGTTTATAACTTTATATTACATTTGTACAGATATTTACTTAACAGTGAGTTTGTGATTCTTAGGTTAAATACATCAGTGGAGGTGTAGCAAGAAATATTGCTGAGTGCATGTCAAAGCTTGGGACACAACCCTTCATGATAAGTGTTGTTGGAAATGATATGGCAGGTATCATGCAGTTTCTTTTTGAGGGATTGGTATCATATACTATAGTGATCTACTTTGTATTATGCCTTGTTTACTGCTGTACATATACTCTAATAGTTCTACTCTGCTGAAGGGGACTTCCTTTTAAAATACTGGAGGTCGGCTGGATTACGTACAGAAGGTAAGTTTGAAGATAGCCTTACTGTGATTTCTTCTTTTTATTTTTCAATTGGGACTGAGTTGCTCGTTCTGCACTGTTTCTGTTGTCTTCCATTACTGTTATACTATTTGTGATACTTAGTTGAAATCCTATATTTTTGGTGCAACAAACGAAATCTAAGATCTTACCATGTCAGATAATAGTAGACTTCATTGGTTCTTTGTGGCCAAAGAATTAGAGCCATCACATCCCAAGGGTGCACTTAAAACTACTTTGTAGTTGTAGTGAGCGCAGCATCAATTTGTGTGACATATTGTGCATTTCGTGAAAGCAATAGAAGCAAGGTGGAATCCTACTAATATAGAATGAAGGGGACATATTGTGCTATCTTTCTGTTTGTCAACCACTGCAATTCTGTCATATAAATACTTTGTTTATACATTTTGCTTCTAAAGAAGTCCTGCATAGTTGTCATATGGCTCCTAAGTTCTATCTCAAGTAATCAGTGTCCAGTCTGACCGGTTTTCCTCTGATGGATGCTTATCATGTAAAAACTTAAAATTGCTGGCACCAGCACATAACAGTAGTTTTCTTGTGAGCTCAACAAAAATGGTTGTATTTGTATTTTGATAAATTTAATCATTATCACCTAGATAGAAAATTTCCTCCCTAATAAAGAGTGAAACAGTGAATGTTGTATGTCTTACATGTAGACATATTGCACTAAGGTGTGCAGAAGGTTATGGTACTTTGATATCGACATAGATAATGTCATTAATATCTTGATTTTGCTAGTTAGGGGCCCTGAGGTCTCAGTAAGGTAACCCTGGTACCCCCTGCAGCGCGATGGTGCATGTGATAGCAGAGACACCATGTTATGGTTGGGAACAATTAGCACCGTCAAAGGGGCTAATTTTAGGCAGGATAAGATCAGGGGACTAGTCAAGTCAATAAGTTAGAGTTAAGGAGAGAGTGGTCAAGTCAAGCAGCTAGAGTTAGGGAGAGCCAAGGGTTTAGGAGAAGATATTGCTGTAATCCTCTTTATAAGCAGTCGGTGATCAAAGAAATAAAACAAGCAATTACAGACAACTCTCGTTCTCACTTCCTTTCTATATTATCTCACTTCCTTGCTGATCGTCCTTCACAACCAGCTATCACGGGAAGGAAGCCAGTGGCCCGAACGGCCGGCAACCTCCCACTCCTATCCTATCTGGCGACGCTGACCCACTGGGACGCACAACCTGCTAGGACGCCACTGGGGAGCCAGTTGCTATGTTCAAACAGCAGTTTTCCGCATTCGAGCTCGAGCTCGAGGACGAGCTCTTTCCGGAGGAGGGGAGAGATGTTATGGTTGGGAATAATTAGCGCCGTCAAAGGGGCTAATTTTAGGCTGGATAAGATCAAGGGTCTAGTCAAGTCAATAAGCTAGAGTTAAGGAGAGAGTGGTCAAGTCAAGCAGCTCGAGTTAGGGAGAGCCAAGGGGTTAGGAGAAGATATTGTTGTAATCCTCTTTATAAGCAGTCGGTGATCAAAGAAATAAAACAAGCACTATTATCTCACCTCCCTGCTGATCGTCTCTATTATCTCACCTCCCTGCTGATCGTCTCTATTATCTCACCTCCCTGCTGATCGTCCTTCACAACTGTTACACCCAATTTTAAGGATAAAATTGAATGCGTAAATCTTATGTGCGCCCAGAGATCAGTCACACACATAAAGGGGCTTACCCAGTGTAGAGAGCTCCCGCTCTGTGCGGGGTTTGGGGAAGAGTGTTAGTGGGAAGCCTTACCCTCGCCTGTGCAATGCGAGGAGACCGCGACTCGAGCCCAGGACCTTCCGGTCACAAGCGGTAAGACTCTACCGCTTGCACCAGGCCCGCCCTTCATCAGTCACACATATAAGCCGACAAATTACAAAAGGTACCATCACATGTGTTTATTACATCACGAATAATATCCATCACATAGTCTTTACACAAGCATAGCGGAAAAATAAAGATAACTTTCGCGGTAGCTCCACATCACAGGGACATCAACCGGTTGACCACAAGTCTAGTAATCCTCGAGGAAATCATCATAACCATTGTCATCTGTTATCCAAAAAAAGTTTCAAAATTTAGAGATGCCCAAGTTATAAATCACTTATAAAAGATAACGAACAATGCTAGAAGTTTTCTGGGTGAGTTCCATCAACAACAGATTGGTAAAACAGTCATAAGTCGAGTTCTAGATATCCAACAGAGATGTTCATTATATGGTTGGAAAGCTTAGGAAGTTATCTACAACTTTTATTTACATCACTTTTCTAGATTCTGTCGTTAAATTAGTCAATAACAGAGGGCAACAGAGACTGCTCAAAATTCCAGACAGCGCAGAAACTCCAACTTGTAACGGTTATATCTCACAAACCAGAATAGATAAAAAGATGATTCTTGCGGTCAGAAAAAGATATAGTAGTCTATTGTTTCCCATAAAAATTTCATAATCTTTGGTCGTACAGAATTAAATGAGCATTATGATAAAGACAGACTGGTCTAGAAAACAGAACTGATAGAATAGATATAACCAACCCAAACTATTTACTCATCAATATTAAACTTATGATCCTTATCTATGGGACTTGTGGACATGCCCACAAACTCACAAAAATCATTACAAAAACTCCAACTCAAACATAAGCATAAGCACAAACCAACTAAGCACATCAAAGTTCACAAGCACACACTAGACTCGACTCGACTCAACTTGTCTCATGCTACTAGCGTCTTATATTACATAAAAAGGGATTCATATTACTATGGTAGAGGGTCTCGGGGAAGCTTCTCATACATCCTTGCATCTTGAGGCTCTCTCTATAGTCATCCACCCATCTTTTGGCTTCGCTTGCGAGCCTCCTTTTGTGCCTTCAGCTCTTCCTCAAGCTGCTCATTCCGCTTCATCAGCTCATGGGCAGAGTTGACCATCACTACAGTAGTTGGGTCCAGACCTTCAGGCTTCATCATTGCCCATCCTAGTTCATGGTGATAGCGAGGAAGGAACTGGAATTGATCCTCCATCATATCCCCAAAACGTCGAGCGCGGAGACCCATGTAGGCTTCAAAACCTGCATCATCTATGCTTTCTTCCGTAGTGGCATGACTAACCCTATGGTTGTAGACCAAGTACACCCGAAAAGCTCTCTTAGCTTCATCCCAGATGGGAGATGCACACCCTAGACTTCCAATAGGTGTCCTCGAGGGGATGCTTGTTCTCCTCGTAGAAATATTCCACAGCTGTCTCCATGTCAGAGTAGTAGGCCTGTAGCAACCCCATTAGCCGGGTGTGGGATTCAGACACGTTGTTTCCCAGCTTAGTGTATTTCTCCTTGGTCCATCCCACAGTAGGGGGCGACACAGCTTGTGGTGGTGCATGCGATCATAGTTTTTAAGGCGGTAAGGCGAGGCGTGGCGACCCACCCCCTTCCAGACGCCTAGGCGAGTAAGGCGCGCGGCAAGGCGACGCCATACACATACTATAACCTACTATGGAGCAGCACAAACATACCTTGTTGCTGTCAATCCTAGAGCCCATGTACCAACAATCCTAAAGGCAGAGCATATCCAAGGAGAAGAGCAGAGGCCTACAATGGAGAGCGGGAGCGGAAGAGTTACCTGTGTGCAGCGAGCCTACGATGACGGGCCAGACGGGGACACAAATTGATGGAGCGGAGGGAGGAAGAATCAATTGAAGGCACGAATCGACAGAGAACCGTACGGAAGCGCCAATTGGAGCCGCAAATCGATGGAGAATCGGAAGGAGGAACGAATCGGTGGGGTGAATAGGCGGCGGCGGCAGAGGAAGCGCAAATCGATGGAGCAGAGCAATGGGCAGAGGCGCGCACACCACCACCGTATTCCAGTGTGCAGCCAGCCCACCCCTCTTCTCTTTTCCCTCTTTCCCTACCACCCTCGCCCTTTCCCCTCTCTCAATTGACGTGCTGGCCTGGGGTCATGGCCCCGCAGGGGGTGTAGGCTCGCGATTTCCCTACGTGCGGAACTCCCCTCGACTTCCCGCGCGTTGAACCCTGCTCCTTTTCCCGCCTGCGCGCTGCTCCTGCGCTGCGCCATCCAAGATTCCGCGCCTGCGATGCCCGCCCAGCGCAAAAGGGACGCCACATCGCGCCTAGGCGATGACTGCGGACGCCATATCCCTCAAGGTCGTGGTGACCCCGACGCCCAAGTTTGAAAATCGCCTGGACGCCAAGGCGACGACTAGGTGACGCCTAGGTGACGCCTTAAAAACTATGCATGCGATGCTTGCTCAGACTAAACACCAGCAGGGGCGATCTCCTGCTCCTTTGGAACCTCCTCAACACGCACCTTCTTGCAAGGGGTAGCTCCTCGAGTGCTCTTGTGGGACGTCTTACGGTCACAAGGCATCTACAGAGAGGCAATTAATTTATAATAAAGCGAAAGAAGCATAAAGTTTTATCAAATAACAAGACTGAGGTAGTAAGCACAGAGCAAGTGAAGCAAAAGATGCTAAAACGACCATTACTAACTAGACTTGCGTCCTACAGTCAACACGGCTTTCTAATTCTGTAGATGCCTCATGACCGTGAGACTGCCTGCAAGAGCACCGGAGGAGCTGCCCCTTGCAAGAAGGTGTGCATTGAGGAGGTTCCAAAGGAGCAGGAGATCGCCCCTACTGGTGTTTAGTCTGAGCAAGCATCGCACGCACCACCACAAGTTGTGCCGCCCCCTACTATGGGATGGACTAAGGAGAAATACACTAAGCTAGGAAACAACGTGTCCGAATCCCACACCCGACTAATGGGGTTGCTACAGGCCTACTACTCTGACATGGAGACAGCTGTGGAATATTTCTGCAAGGAGAACAAGCATCCCCTCAAGGACACCTATTGGAAGTCTAGGGTGTGCATCTCCGTCTGGGATGAAGCTAAGAGAGCTTTTCGGGTGTACTCGGTCTACAACCATAGGGTTAGTCGTGCCACTATGGAAGAAAGCACGAATGATGCAACTTTTGAAGCCTACATGGGTCTCCACGCTCAACGTTTTGGGGATATGATGGAGGATCAATTCCGGTTCCTTCCTCGCTATCAGCATGAACTAGGATGGGCAATGATGAAGCCTGAAGGTGTGGACCCAACTACTGTAGTGATGGTCAACTTTGCCCATGAGTTGATGAAGCGGAATGAGCGGCTTGAGGAAGAGGTGAAGGCACAAAAGGAGGCTCGCAAGTGAAGCCAAAAGATGACGGATGACTATAGAGAGAGCCTCAAGATGCCAAGGATGTATGAGAAGCTTCCCCGAGACCCTCTACCATAGGAATATGAGTCCCTTTTTATGTAATATAAGACGCTAGTAGCGTGAGACAAGTTGAGTCAAGTCTAGTGTGTGCTTGTGAACTTTGGTGTGCTTAGTGGTTTGTGCTTATGCTTATGTTTGAGTTGGAGTTTTTGTAATGATTGCTGTGAGTTTGTGGGCATGTCCACAAGTCCCATAGATAAGGATCATAAGTTTAAGATTGATGAATAAATATTTTGAGTTGATTATATCTGTTCTCTTAGTTCTGTTTTCCATACCGGTCTATCTTTATCATAATGCTCATTTAATTCTGTATGCCCAAAGATTATGAAATTTTTATTGGAAACAGTAGACTATTGTATCTTTCTCTGACCGCAAGAATCATCTTTATCATCTTTTTATCTGTTCTGGTTTGTGAGATATAACTGTTAGAAGTTGGAGTTTCTGCGCTGTCTGAGCAGTCTCTGTTGCTCTCTGGTACTCGAGAGTTATCTTTATTTTTCCGCTACGCTTATGTAAAGACTATGTGATGGATATTATTCGTGATGTAATAAACACCTGTGATGGTACCTTTTGTAATTTGTCGGCTTATGTGTGTGACTGATCTCTGTGCGCACGTAAGATTTATGCATTCAATTTTATCCTTAAAATTGGGTGTGACAACAACCAGCTATCACGGGAAGGAAGCCAGCGGCCGAACGCCGTCAACCTCCCACTCCTATCATATCCTGTCACTCCCCCATGGATGTGACATACCACATGACTAGGAAGGAAAAGTACTCCTATAACAGATGCTAACATATTCTTAACAATAGTATCTAATCTTAGAGATAAGGAAATACCTTATCTAATGAGGTATGATAAATCATAAAGCTAAGTTAAATGCTAAATGCTCTCCTGCTGCCCTGGTTCAGGCCTTGACCCAATCCCTCTGTAGCATGCTCTAGTGTATATGATATGTAAGAGGTCAATGTTTAATTTTTTTGCTCATAATGGTCTGTAAGCAATTAATATTTAAACTAATTGGATCATGTGGTAGTTTGTTAAATAATTGGCTATTGCTAGACATTCTGAAGGCTTATTTTTCCTTATTCCTTTGTTAACACTAAATCCTTTCCAGTTGTCTGCAATTTAGCATGGAATGGTGCACTAGAGAGAGGGTTGCTATTATTTGTGTGGCATAATCTTCATGACAGCCTACTTTATGATATTACTTCATAATAACTGCACAAGACAGGAATTCTGTAGGCTGATGATGTTGCAACCCCAGTAGTATCAAATGTATTTGATGGTAGTGGAGAATTAATCGCTGGAGTTGCAAGTGTTGAAACAGTTGTAAGATTTTTACAGCAGTACAGTACAGTATTGTACGGTTACTTTGGAAAAAAAAGTTCCGTTTATTAATTATTGATTTATTTGGATGTGGGCAGGAAAATTTTATTACTCCGAGCTGGATATATCGCTTCCGTCATCATATCACTAATGCACCACTTGTAATGCTTGATGCGAATTTATCTCCTGAGTCACTTAAAGCAGCTTGCATAAGTAAGCTGTTCCACCTCAAATTTTGTAGGGTTAAAATTATATGCACTAAAAATTTCCTGATAAATTCTTTACTGATGATGACATTGAAGGTCATGATTGAATCTTGATTTATTTTAAGTTCCATTTGAGTAAAACTAATGATTGAGTGTTTTGCTTGTAAAATTTCTGTCAGAAAATGTTTAGAATGCATGCTGCTTCTTTTCTTTGTTTTTAATCATCTATAATTACAATTACAATTCCCTAAACTTGTATACTTTGGATTCAAGTTGTAGTAAATTATATAGACCGGAACTCATTGGAATACTTTGTAGGGAGACCTATGCCAGCTTTATTATGTACACCCCTGATCTGTGTAATTTTACTACATTCAACTTTTTAAAGTATTGTTATTGCATTGCTGTGTACTCAGTATGCTACATTGACCCTCATTTCTCAATTTTTTTGACCTGAAAATACAGCTGGGGGTTTCCCCCACTGTAAGAGCTTAGCATCTGTATTCTACACTCCTAGTTATTAACACTGTACACTCACAAAAAAAGGTGTTAACACTTTATATTTTCCTTATCTTAATCATATTGATTAGGAATTGAGGACAAAAGGTTGATTGTAACACTATGTTGAGTTATTTTTCCCAGCGGCATATGAATCCGGGGTGCCTGTGTTATTTGAACCAGTCTCAGTGGTGAAGAGTCGAAGAATTGCACCAGTCGCAGAATATGTGAGTGTGAAAGATTAAAAACTATAGTATGCATTGTATTTGAAGTTTTAACACTTCATATAAATTTTCTGTGATGATTCAGATAACTTGCACCTCGCCCAATGAGATTGAGCTTGTTGCCATTGATAGAGAGTTAAGCCAACAGGCTTTTGGATGATTAATAGATAGATGGCAGAGTGTTTACATATATAGGGATTACAGGAGGGTGGCTCAAGGGGCCAGCCGAGTGTGAAGGGGCCTGTCTAGCCAAGCAGGCGGCACAGGAAGCTAGGGGATTACATAAAGGAGTAATAAATTCTAACACCCCCCCGCAGTCGGAACGTCGATGGAACGAACATTCAGACTGGAGCGAAATTCTGTGAAGACAGAGGAGGGGAGCCCCTTGGTGAAGACATCTGCGTACTGCGACGTTGTAGGAACGTGGAGGACGCGGACAGCTCCAAGGGCGACCCGTTCACGGACAAAGTGAAGGTCGATTTCCACGTGCTTGGTGCGTTGATGCTTTGAACGGGTTGGTGGAGAGGTAGACGGCGACGACATTGTCGCGATGAGACGAGGGAGGCGATCTTGAGGGGTGGTGCAGCTCCTGGAGAAGTTGCTGCAGCCATGAGACTTCGGCGACACCGTTGGCAACAGCACGGTACTCTGCTTCGGCACTCGACCGAGAGACAGTGGGTTGCCTTTTGGACGACCAGGAGATGAGGGCCGCCACCGAGAAAGACAACAGTAACCGAGAGGTGGAGCGGCGAGTGTCCGGGCAGCCACCCCGGTCGAGATCGATGTAGACGACAAAATCGAGTTGGAGCGAGACCGGGGATGATCGAGCCATAGCCGATGGTGCCTCAAGGTAGCGAAGATCCGCTTAGCGTGCGATCGAATGTGAGTCTCGCGAGGATCATGCATGTGAAGGCAGATTTGCCGGGCGGCATATGCAATGTCGTAGGCGAGTGAACGTCAATCAATCGAGGGGGCACTGTAAAGATCTGCGGTAGGCGGTGGGATCATCCACGGGAGGGCCAAGATCTGCGAAGACCTTGGCACAAGTGTCAACGGGGTAGAGCGAGGATTGCGACCACTCATACCATGGCGTTCTAGAATGTCCAGGGTGTATTGCCGCTGTGAGAGGATGAGAGTGTCCCTGTGTCGCCGAACTGCCACGCCGAGGAAGTGATGCAAGGGACCAAGGTCTTTCATGGCAAACGCCTTCTTCAGGGCAGCAATCACACGGAGGAGGAGCTGCTGAGAGGAGGCGATGAGGGACGATGTCATCCACATACGGAGAGCAGTATATTGTGCTCTGTGCCACGTCGGTGTATGAATAGGGAGGTGTCGACTTTGCTTGATGAAACCCAAAATCGAAAGCGAGATAAGTAGCAAATCTCCGCACCACGCAGGGGCGCTGCTTCACTTTAGAGGGGACTTGTTGAGCTTACGGACATGTTCGCGGAAAGCGAGGTCGGCCGAACCCGGTGGGCGAGAGCGATGAGACGGTTTCTGACAAAGTCCCATGGAGGAAAGCATTCTTCACGTCGAGTTGATGAATGGGCCAATCCCGAGAGTGTGCCAAGGTGAGAACGGTACGAATCGTGGGTGGGTTTGGCGACGTGGTGGCGAAAGTCTCGTCGTAATCAAAGATCAAAGCGCCGTGTAAATCCGCGAAGGACCCAACGAGCCTTGTATCATCAAGGAGCCATCAACATGAAACTTGTGTTTGAAAATCCATTTTCCAGTGACCACATTTGCCTTGGCCGGACGAGGAACAAGGTCCCACGTGTGGTTGTCCAGGAGAGCAACATGTTCTTCCATGGCACGACGCCAGTGCGGATTGGCAAGAGCGTCGCGACAGGACCGCGGTACTGGTGATAGGGCCTCAGTATGTAAGGCGAGACGAAATTTGCCGATACCGGACTTCCACGGGTCGCCATGCCATGAGAGTTGGCGGCCGAGGGATGGGGACAGCCATTGTCGGAACGGGAGGGCCGTGCTTGACATAGCGGCGGGGAGGGGGAATAATCTTGGAGCGTCGAGGAGGGGCCTCAAAGCGGGCGCAGATGATGAGCTGAAGCGGGGCGCGCTGGAGTACACGTGAGTGACGGAGGCTTGCTTTGAAGTAGGGAGCCGGGCGCGCCGGAAAGCCGCAGGTTCGGGCACGGACATGGTGCTGGAGGCGCAGCAGCACTAGGGCGCCGGACAGAGGAGCCGGGGCACTGGGTTGCCAGCGAGGCGCCTTAGGGATCTTGAAAAGCGCCGGGGGCTGCGTCGCGATCCATCATCCATCGGGCGGCAATGAGCGAGGACGGGAAGCTCGGTGGAGGCGATCTGGACGCCGGGGCGCCCAGTCCAGCCAGCGGGGTGGCCGATGGCGATGTCTGGGAGCAGGCACGTGAAGTGGATCTTGCACAATGCCGACAAGACCGAGGGGTACTGAGGTAAAGGAAAAAAGCGGTAGGGGTCATCGTTAGTTAGAAAATCAAGCTCCTGTGGAGGAGGTGAGGATCGGCGAAGGGAGAACGGAAAAGTTGTTTCATCGAAAACATGCCGGGAAACGATGACCCGGTTGGTGGCGAGATCGAGGCACCTGTAGCCCTTGTGATCAGGCGAGTAGCCGATGAATACACATAGAGCGGAGCGTGGAGCAAGTTTGTGGGGTGTTGTGGCGGTGAGATTGGGATAACAGGTGCACCCGAAAGCTCGTAGGTTATGGTACGAGGGGTGGGTGCCATAGAGCGCAAAGAAGGGAGTGCTCATGTGCAGCGTCTTGGTAGGGAGTCGATTCAGGAGGAGAGTAGCAGTGGCAAGGGCATCAGCCCAGTAGGAAGGTGGCATGGAAGCCTGAAAGAGGAGGGTTCGGGTGACATTGTTAGTGGTGCGAATCATGTGCTCGGCTTTCCCATTTTGTTGAGATGTATAGGGACAGGACATACGAAGAGAAACGCCGTTGGCAAGAAAGAATGCACGAGAGGCGGAGTTGTCAAACTCACGGCCGTTGTCACACTGTACTGTTTTGATGGTGCAGCCGAACTGAGTTCTTACATGAGCAAAAAAGTTGGAAATAGTAGGAAAAGTGTCAGACTTGAACCGAAGTGGAAAGGTCCAAAGGAAATGAGAGCAGTCATCGAGGATAACAAGGTAATATTTGAAACCGGATACACTGGTAATAGGTGATGTCCACAAATCACAATGCACCAAATCAAAATTCTGAGCTGCTCTAGAAGAGGAACTAGTAAAAGGTAAACGAGCATGGCGTCCAAGTTGACACGCATGGCAGAGGGAGTCGTCGTCAGGCTTGCTGTAGATGATGGAAGAGGACTGAGCAAGACTCTGAAGAGCAGCCTTGCCAGGGTGACCGAGACGGCGATGCCAGGTAGTCTGGGAGGGAGTAGTCACCAGTGCGCAGGGACCGGAGGAGGACGCAGGCAGCTGCAAGGTGTAGAGAGGTCCCTGGCTGTTACATCGAAGGAGGGTGTTCTTGGAATGCAGATCCTTCACAGAAACACCAAGAGGGTCAAATTCAACTGAAACAGAATTGTCAGTTGTGAACTTGCGAACGGAAAGCAGATTTTTAATAATATCAGGAGCTATAAGGACATTATTGAGGCGAAACGGGCCAGGAAGGATGGAGAAACCAGTGCCAACGACTGGGAGAGTGGCGCCGTTGCCAACAACAATGGAGGATGGAAAGAAAGAAAATGGCGAAGCTGTGACCATACCAGAGTTGGAGGCAATGTGAGAGGAAGCACCGGAGTCAATAACCCAGTCCGAGGAGCCCGATGGCGGAGTCAGGGAGACGGTGCTGAAGGCGTTGGCGAGGGACTCAGTAGTCCATGGCGACCAAGTAGGAGAGGGCGCCTGTTGGGGTGCCTGGTAGTATGCCCCGGGGTTTGGCGGTGGAGTGAAGTAACCCGGGGGCACACCAGCCACTAGGGCTTGCTGTGGTGATGGAGGCGGGACGGTGCGAGGTGGTGGACCGCGAGGACCGCCAGGAGTGGACCCAGGCCACATATGGATGGACCCGGTCCATGGGTTGAACATGGAAGGCCACTTCGCCGACCGCTTTGAGTCTTCTTCTTTGGCCTTTGGTGTTCTTGGGCTGCTTGGTGAGCCGCCATGCCTTTGCTTTTGGCTTGGCGCGTCGTCTTGTGGCGACGCCGACCATGCGACCGTTCCGTGGCGAGACATAAACGCCCCAGTAGTCTGATGAGGACGCGGAGCAGAGGGCGGGGGAGTAGCGGGCTGCTTGCCGGACGATGAGGTGACGAGGGCTGATGGCGGTGCTGAAGGTGGCGCCATGTTGAGTTCAGCAAGGCGGAGATCAGCACGGACATCAGTGAAGGAGGGGAATGGCCTCTATCGAGTGATGAGCTGCGACATGAACTGGAATC